GGGGGGGGGGGGGAGGGGGAATTCGGGAATGGGACATCGGGATTTGCCTATTTAACTTTGAGTGAAAGCGATGATCCGAAGTCACATAACTAAGACCTTTACGTTTCGGAGCTTTAGATTGTAACTGATGACATATTTTTTCACCGTCGAAAGGCCTGTCGAGCTTTGGCTTCGCAGCTTGTTTTGTGGCATCCAAATCTGACGCGAGCAACGAGGACCAGGTGCACCCAGTTATCTCTAATGCATTGCATATGTTCTGGATTTCACTGAATTGCATATTTGGACTATGCTACCATCAGTTCCAAGCATGTATATCGAGAGTTTCTAAAGACCTGGGAATTGAAGTTATTGCCTTCGCGACCTGCAAACTAATTAATGCGCATGAAACCACACTGCAATCGACAACTTGTGGACGAAGGCAGGGTGAAGGACTCTACACAACTGCTAGTAGATCGTTGATCGTTTCATACGGGAATGACGGCAAGGAGGTTTTTAGGGGTTAGGCAGCACGCTTGACAGCAAGTTGACGAAATTCGAGAAAATATAGTAATTGTTTAGAGTTCTGCTTACAGTCCTGCCGTATGCCTTCGTATGACGGCGAAAATGAGCGCGTTGATTAAAAAGTCATCAAAAGTGAATTTTCAACGAATAACAGAGCTTCGATAATGAGATGTGGTCATGGGAGTTAATTGTTGTTGACAGTGTGATGTCTGCAACGGTCTGCAAATGGATGTCAGAATAAACCCCATGTGACATGATCCACAGCCTATCGACGGTTAAGTGGGGTCTTTAACCTTACGGTTGCCAAATTGTGACCTGAAAGGCGGTCCTTGCGGTGAGAGTCTGTGGTCCAATCTTGCTTCATTTTATAAGCGTCGGACAAGATTAATCAGGGCCGAAAAAGCTCTCTATGTTTTCTCAAGATGACCATTTCACGAGGGAATCGATAACGACAGTTTTTATCAGAAATTATCTCATAATAAAGCGGTTAAGTAGGCAGGTTTAGGATTCACTTCTGGCAACGACAATTAATTTCTATGTCTGTCACCAAAGTTTTGAAATTGAAAGTTATATCTTCCACCGTAACTAGATAAAATCGAAAAACTACGACTATAGCTTTCACAAGGCTTTCAGATGAATAGCCTTTATGATTTTACATAATGGCAACAACCTTCAACCTCAGCTAACTCGGAAGGCATATTCCTATAAAGGGAGTGTCGACATGCAGTGGAAGTCAATGAAAGGGGTATCTTCAAGATCCTTGTGCAATAAATCCTACAGCCAACAAACAAACGGATTTCCGTTGACACGCGCTGAGCTTGATTTGGCCAAATTGTATCGATTTTTGAGAGCGAAATCCTAGGAACTCACGAATTTGGTATTACACGAGATCCTTTAAACAACCCTATTCGCTATTTTCAAAAACTTAAAAGGCTCGGTTTGCAGCATCCAGGGAGAAAGAAGCACAAAGAGGCGTGACATTATACATGCACCGTGGAGCAGTTGCAAGGACCCTCTTGGTCAGGTAATGCTGAAACCCCCATCAGTAATTCTAGCGTTAATACTCAGTACAGCTATCTGACCAACAGGTAGATCTGAGTGGTTTCGAGGAATGCGGTGTAAAACTGGCGCAACCTAGTCTGTGCAGTTCTGAAAGAACGTGGGAACGAGTCGCGGTCGCGTTTAGAGTTAATATCACGTGTTGAGTTACCACAGGTGCCAGATTAAGGGTCTCCAATGTACAGTCAGTGGCCTATCGTAAGAAATATTAACCAAAAATCTGAAATGTGTTTTCGATTAGAAAAGGTTGCTTACACGTTGTTATGATACTGATCTTCGGACAACATAATCCCAGGATATTTTCTTCAAGCCAAGAGGCCGGTTTCCGAATGTATTAGGTAAGAAAGTGGCTGCCTACGTAGTGTAGACTATTTCCCTAATTTTCAACTATATTTTATAGAAAAAAATGTTGAAAATTTGCTTTATTGTGTTTATTTGGTAGCGGGTGCCTACAAACAGCCTACCGTAATAAAGGCAACGAAAAGGGCGAGATTGAGAGGTAATATATTTCCAGAATTTTAGAAGGAGTGGGCGGCGAATCGTCTCATGAGGTCGAGAGGGCGGATGTCCCCTGCTCGTGGGAAGGTGAGGAGCAGATCAAAAATTAAAGTAGTACACGGAATGGGAAGGGGCAGGGGGCGAATGCCACCAATGTAAACCACAGGACTCGTAGGATCAGCTTCAGTCAGACAGGTGGCTACCGCAACTGGGAGGCGGCCCAATTCAAGAATCGAGGCAGCGGCCGAATTTGGGCGGGGAAGGTCAAAAGTGCTGGTGATGATGATGACGATGATGATGATGATGATGGTGGTGGTGGTGGTGGTGGTGG